CTATGTTATCGATTTCAACTAGTAATTAGCGAATAAAAAAAATTAAATAGACAACTTAAAACTTGGCGCCTATTTATATTTGGACAGATATCAACATATTCAGTGGGAAGAGTATTCTAATTCTAATTCTGAGTGATTAGACCCTAAGTGGAATAGATTCCTAGTGGAATGAATAAAATACCAAGTATCCTGTCTTTATGATTTCCATGTGGCAGCGTGGGTTAGGAGACCTAATAATCTTAATTACTCCCTCTCGTCAATCAGATTTTTGCCGCTTGAAATGCATTCGTCCTTCTTTTATAAGTATTCCCCGTGTTCGTACGGAAGGTTTTCCTCGCCTTTTTATTAATACACCCTAAAAGAGTTGACCAATAAGAGTTGACTAGTCGTCTACCTCATTACAATACGAGTCTTCAAAATTAGAGTGATTTGGCTTTTATGGTGCGGTTTACTAAAATAAATACATACTTTTTTTGTCAGGAGGGATAGCATCATGTAAAATCTAGAACATTGAAAACGGACCAATCTGTAATTATTTTAACAATAAAAACTTTTGAAGTTAACTTAAATTCTAATTGGGTAGATTTCATCATGTTTTGGACAGTGGAGCAAACAATTCTATAAGAATAAGCAGTAGGAAACGTTCAGAATTAAATACTTTATTTAAGTCTTAGAATGTCGCGGATTTTCGGCGAGGTGGACGCGGATCTCTATTCACATGTCTGTGTTCATATTACAAACATTTAAAACACAAGATATCAATATCAAGAAAGTTTTACAAACATAATAGTTTATCTTTTGGACGGGTTAATTAACTGTGATAATAATTAAAACGAGATGTGTTAAGTGAAGATGGAAAAAACAATGAGCAAATTATTTTATTTTTTCATTTCAGAAACATTTTTAGCTTATTTGGTCTTTGTCTATTAAATTAGACTATAGTGACTCACGTTGACATCGTGATACGTGTATTAGTAAAGAGGGGATAAAGAAGGGTCGCGTTTGGTCTGGCTATATATTTACTGCATTTACGACCAGGGTTGCGATGGGGAGAGTTGTGAAGCTGTGTTGGATACCTGGCTGTGTTGGTTCTTTATGGGACCTGGATAGCCATCGATTGTGTTAACTAACGAACAGTTGAGAACGGGAAGTAAGGCACCCGCCAAAGGTCGCGTTTTGGTCTGGCTATAAATTCACTGCATTTACGACCAGGGTTGTATGGGGAGAGTTATGTGATGTCTATGAACTGCAGTCTTTGTGCACGTTGACGTTTCCTTGTAACCATACCGCACCGGTTGCGATACGGACTAACTTGTTTTGAACAACTTTTTTTTTGTATGCATAACCCGCCCTCGCAGGGGCAAGGACGGGTTATATTGGACTCGCACCGACTAAATCTCCCACGATGTTACACTCAGGAGCATTTCAGCAGGGCTACGGAATCGCTTTGGCACACTGCGACCCTGCCAGCGCTGGCCGCCTTAGTGGCCCCTTGTCGGGCCAGCTTTACACCATAGGCCGGCCCAGTGGGGGCTCCTCTTGAATTCCCCTGAGTGACCAAGCCACGGCTACTAAGCCCCTCCGGCAGGACAAGGCGGGAACCCGGTCGACAGGGTGTTTTGAACAAATTGACGATTTCGGGTATTTATACAAAATATATGGTAGTCATAGCAGAATAATGAATCGGCGGACCGGATCGTTAGGTCGGGTCGTTTGCTGTTAAGAAATAGAATATATTAGAGCCACGCACTGTGGGGCACGAATGGGCAGGTCTGTTCATGAAAGTACCGCGACCTCCGACTGAAGTGAATTGGAAGTGTTATACTTCTGAGTTTCGTTTTGTGAGTGAGATAACCGGGATTCACTTTATCCAAATATGTCCTACTACTAGCTAAAATTTAAAGGATATCAATTTTTACTAGGCGAAGAAAGCGCGGAGATAATTGATTATACAATCGGATGGAGTGCCTTAAGCGTTGCACTCTATAGAAGCATTAAGCCCTTGCGATGAGTTTCCGCGCGGATTTTTTTAGCCACAAAAGCCTGAGTTGGAGAAAGTTCATGCTCTTAAGTTGGCTGCAAACCGCGGGAAACACTGCTTTTTTTTCGTAATTACTATAAACACAACCAGACACTTCAATGGAGCACGGATCCTTGTAAAGCGATCCCTTCCAATGATGATTTGGAAAGCTATTGAAATGAAGAAAAACAACCTTATTTCAATTGAGAAGGGAGTTAGGTGCCACATTCAGCTAAATAAAATCTAGACACCTTTTAGCGTAGATTGGACGCAAAACTTAAAACTGAAACACTGTTGGTAGCCGGGCTGATCAATGACATTCAGACGTCCAAGGCATTAATCTGTCCCTTGACCAGGGACGGTGTAGTATTGGAAACATCATTGATTAAAAACAAACACTAAAAATCGTATAAATAGTTTCATCTAGTAAAGATTTGTTATTCAAAAGTAAAGTTATCTATTTCTTATTTCCGATTTTCTGAGGAACGGTGGACCTAGCAAGTTGAAATTTATACCAGGTACTAAGGTCTATACTCCCTATTATGCGTATTAAGAGTCATCACCATAAAAAGATAAGGGCGAATTTATATTTTCACGAGAACTTGTAAGTGCCAAAATGTACCTTATGTTTTTTTAAGTTTCGGATTTTTTTTCTTTACATTTGCTGTGAGAACATTGTGCCATGCGGAGTCCCCGTATGGCGTTATGCCTTGGTATCGGCTTTATTGAGTGCTAATAGACAGATTTAAACTTCATATTTCCGCTTACAATATGAAACAAGGGAACTGGGTGTTGAAACACGGCTTTCCATTCCACTGTCCCAATTTACCAAAAAAGGTACCATTTGCGGTGGTAGGGCCACGCAAATGTTTGACCATGTTTCAATATAAATGAGGCATATACATCTGTTGCATGAATGGGCACGCTAAGTACCATGACCTCACAAGTAATACGCTAGGTACCAAGACCGGCGTAAAGTAGAAGTGGTACACTTCTGCGTTTCGTCTGGTGAGGGAGGTAGCCAGGGCCCACTTTATTTAAAGGTGACAACGCATTTGCGACTCTATGACTGTTGCAAATGTTCATGGGCGGCGGTTATCATTTAACAACAGGTGAAACGTCAGCTCGTTTGCCAATTCCAAAAAGGATTTTGCGTTTTTTTTAAATACCTAACGTATAGTGCTTGAGATAGTTTACTCATTCATTACTAATATTTAGAACGGGTAAAGATCGGTCTTCAGTAGCGATCGCGGCCATACCGATGTTCCTTCATGGTGTGGTAAGTTGGTAAAATAAATCAAAGTTTAAAAGAAAACTAAAAAGCACGCCTTTGTAGAAAACCGAAAATAATTTTCAGTAAATTAAAGTTATGAATGGTGTGTATAGTTTTTACTAGCTTACCTCTACAGCGAAACCAACACAAAGTTCTCACTGCCCCTAGCCAGCGATTAACATAGTCGAGTCGACGCTGACGGGGTTACGGTCCTTACTGAACCTCGATGGCCTATAGTGATATCCCTCCCCGCATACTTACTTTAGTGCACGTAACTTTTTGTTAATGTGAAAAGTTGCCAAGCGAGCAGGCGGTTCACCTGATGTTAAGTAAATACCGCCACCCATGGAAATTTTCTGCACCCGAGGGTTCCAAATGCGTTGACAACCTTTTGAAAATGGAGCCCAATTTTCAACCTATACCACTCTACTCTATACGGCTACCTCACTTACCAGACGAAATGCGAAAGTATTTTACTTCCACTTTATACTGGTCTTGCGGGAGGTCGTGTTACGTACCCGGACGAGCCTGCCCATTCGTGTAACAGCCGAGGCTGCTGCGTGGCCCTACCACTTTCTATATCATCTGTCAAATTTATATACATTTCATGTAATATTATAAATACAATAATGTAAATCGGAACAAATTTTAAACGCCACATTGTATATGTATATGCCTCATTTATATTGAAACACCATTGGCTGTAAAAGACACTTACTGTCAAATTTGATTTCTTTGTTCTACTAATTTATCATTCCTCAAACAAAGCTAATGGAATATCAGGTAGGATATATAACAATGAAATTATTTATTAATAAGAGAGGTAGATATGACTAGCGCAACGAAACCGGGGCGTATTGGCGCATCGTTATATGGGTGTGTCAGTTTCAGAGCGCTAGTGTCATATTTCCCTCGTAGTTTTGTCTATAAGATCATTGTTTAAAAGAAACATAAGTTCTTGCACCAGTGCGTGATCTGCATGCGGAGACTTTGACTCTCGCTCATGGATTTGTTCCAAAAGCTGAAATGCGCACAGCGAGCGGCTGAGATAGCTCGGTGTCCCTCTCAGCAATAAACTGAAACGAAGGAATGCGACGGGGAACAAAGGTGAGTGACATGGCTCTCAAAATCTGCAAACCGAAGTGGCAGAAGGCCGAGTCAGGTCAGTGATGGCTGGTGAGGAAAGAAAGCCCTGTAGCGGACACGGTTAGAAGAAAGGAAGTTGATGGAATGAAGTTGATACGGGATACATAAAGACCGAATGTGGTGGTTTGGCCAATTCGCGCTTCTAGTACCCGGATAAGACCCGGAACTTAAGTTATAGGCGAGTACGGGAAACTAAATCAAAAAGTGGCAGATCAGAATAAGAGGAGGGCTATGATACAGTAATTTATATAAATATGAGGGGTTATATTTCTCATTCACAATAAATTGATTTTGTGGTAAATGGAACCCTAAAAATCATCGAGTACAATGCGGTTAAACTACGTTCACACGTTATAGTTTTACTAAATAAATAATTGACTGACCTTTTTTTTTTATTCATAACACGTATCAGATAACAGTTGTTTTTATTACGAAACAAATTAAAAAAAAAATGATTATCACTAATTGTTTTTACTCACGTGTAGCTTACTATATAAAAGTATGTTTATACGTTTTCATGTCAGTCGATGGTCCGTAGCCGCCAGAAAGCGTTCCTGCAGAATGATCGGAGCAACGATTTTCGCCGCGATATTTTTGGGTGTCCTCGTGCACTTTTATAAGAAAGCTTACAAAAGACATGAGAACTTTCCACCCGGTAAGACTTTTGAACTTAAAACTAGTTGAAAAAACTTTACCTCTTCTTATGTGCAATATGATTATGGCCAAGTAGACTCTTATTAAACACCATCGTCTGAACTCAGAGACCACAATTAGCATTTTAATAGCATTAAAATATATTTGTAAAGGTATCTTAAAGAACCTTATTAATAAAACTTCAACTATTAATTATACATGATTGCAGTCTGTGTGTGTGGTTGTTTAAAACTTAATTTAGTTTTCACTTAGGTCCATCAATGTTTCTTTAACATCTCTTCATCCATGTATACTTTTTGCTGTAGTTGCCAATATTGGTATGGGTGGCATCAAGTAGTTGTTTTAGGTGTAGTTTTCTAAATGCCGCTGCTGGTTTCTATTGTTTTATCTATTTTTGACCGTTTCTCTCCCTCTATACCCATTTCCAAATACTAATAGGGTTATTATTTAATACATACAACCGTTCATAATGGTTATTTAATGATTTTAAAAATTTCGTAATGCTTAGTTAATGATTGATTGACAAAACATTTAATTTTATATGTATATAAATACGGATTTAATTCCAGGCCCACCGAGCCTCCCAGTATACGGCGCATACTGGTTGATACTGTTGAAAGGTCTGAATAACCTACCGACCGCTTTCATAAAATTTGCGAAGGAGTACAAAACCAAAGTGGTGGGATGCTATCTATCCACAATACCCACGATCGTTGTGAACGATCCAGCCTTGATCAAGGAAGTGCTTAATCGAGAGGAGTTCGACGGACGAATGGATGTGATCCTCGGCAGACTACGCTCTTACTGGAAAAAGCTGGGTGAGTAATTTACCATCTATTGCTATTATATTAGGTACGTATTTATAATTAATTGTTCAACATAAATGCATGCATTTATTGTATTAAAGTGCATTATCTCTAGTGATTTACGGCGTATGGAACGTAGATAATTATATATTATGCTACCCTAAATGTAGTTTCCGTAAACAACTAGAAGAAAACCTTTCTTAAAATCTTTCTCCGAGAAGGAATTCATTACACTCGATAATTTAACGTTTAAAATAATAAGAAATATCTCATTTTCTTTATATAAGCTCGACATTACAAACGAAGTCTATGATGTAATTGACAAAATAAAGTCCAACATATATATTATAACGATAAACTCTAAAGATTCTTTAGAATATAATTAAAAGCTTAAGGTGTTATGTTTTCGTGTTTTTAACTACTTAAAATGTAGGCCTGTAGGTTCCGAAATAATAAGAATAATCTCTTCACTCCTAATTAGGTAAACACATGCGTATGCCGCGCATCTGCTTACCTAAATCGGAGGGCCGTTTTAAGCTCGTGAGATCTGATTATTCCACGAGTTCTGCGTTCGATGAACCATTAATATTCTAGGAGCTGAAAGCAAAGACAGCAGTTAAAGTAAAGTAAAGGCAGAATTCTTGACGTCAGTTCGTTCTGCAGCCGCGCGTGTAATAAAGCATTCGAAACGCTTAAATCAGAAATTCAAAACTATCAATCACAAAGTTCATGAAATTCGTAAAATTTGAATCACATTTCTTTGCATAGCATATACATAATTTAGGCATCATTTTCCAGGTATATTCTTCACGGACGGGTACTTTTGGCACGTCCAGCGACGTTTTACGTTGAGGCACATGCGGGATCATGGATTCGGTAAACGCGACGATACACTGGAATCGACAATAGCACACGAGATTAAAGAAATGATTGACATGTCGATCAATGGGCCAAAGTATCCCGCTGAAAACGTTCGTAGACTATTTTTTTGTTGTTGTAGGCCAATTTTTATTTAATTTGGAACAGGTTCTTAGCAGCAATATAGATTTTTCAACAAGAGCTAAGTAAAATTAAGTAACCGTACACAGTAATAGTCGAGCCGTGATAGCTCAGTGTCCAGGCGCTCGCCTTTAATTCAATATACTCGAGCAACCTGAGTTCGATCCCCGGTGCCGGCACCAATGAAGTTTTTAACTTTAAGTGCTGACTTATCACATGCTCAGCGGTGAAGAAAAACATCGTGAGGAAACCTGCATATTTTCGAAATAATAACAAAAAAAATTATACCTATTTCGAAAATATGTCAAGTCCGCCAACCCGCAGTGGGGCTGCGTGGTGGACTATGCCCTGTTACCCTCTGTATAGAGGAGGCCTTTGCTCAGCAGTGGGGCATGTATAGGCTGTTACTTTAGTTTACTTTACACAGTAATATGCTTTTGAATTCCATACATATTTTGTGTATCGTGGGTTCTTTTAACATCATTTTTATGTTATAGGAACTTGTGAAGGGGGACTTAATCCATCTACCACATTTCCTTGCCGTGCCGTTCATCAACGGTGTGTTACACATAATTGGAGGAATGACTGTTCCAAGGTCCGAATACCATAGTCTGTGGACTATGGCTAGAGGAGCGCTCCTATTTCAACGCAGCTCTAATGATCTTGGCGCCGCCCTCACTTTAACGCCCTGGCTTAAAGACGTCATGCCAAAGTTCAGCGGATACAAGGATTTAAGGGATGGAAACCAAGCCCTCCTCGATTTCTTCACGGTATAGTAGCAAAAAAATTATATATCCCGTGGTTCAGCGAATGTCTCCTCTTGTGAAAGGGCTATTAGGTCATATATTGTCACTTATTTTAAAAAAGCTTGAGATCATCTCGATTTATACTCGGCGATGGGTATTTGTGGATTTCAGTCAACCTTTTTTTATTGCAGAAATTTATCAAAGAAGCCATGAACACGTATAATGAAGGTTACGACCGCCATTTTCTCGACATGTACATTAGGAAGATGCGGGAGGAGATGAAACAAAATAAGACAACTTATTCGGGTAATGTAGCTATTACGCATGAAACTATAAGAGTATCTATAAAGTATCAGAGAGATGAATGCGATACGATGAAAGGCAAAAAAGTTGTTTATCTAGTTGTTACACCATAAAACCTTTTGGCTCGGCATGTTTTGATGACTACCTGATTGACACTGATCGTCTTAGTCTGTAATAAATTAGAATATGCACTGTCACAACCACTGCCTGCACTATCCCAACAATCCCCCTCATTTCCAGAGGACCAGCTGGTTCTGATTTGCACAGACTACATGTTCCCGGCTGCCTCGGCGGTACAAGCTGCCCTTACGATGTTGTTGGAACGACTGCTTTTGCACCCGGAGATTCAGGATAAAGTGCACGAGGAAATCGACCGCGTGGTCGGTCGTGACCGTATGCCCACAATTGACGACCGTAAGAAGTAAGAAACAAATAGTTTTCTTACGACTAACATTTTAATTACCTACTATGTTTTTCTTTTTTATTGAACCATCACCCAGCTGGTTTAATTTTATTTTTTATTAATAATCGGATAAATAATTGTGTTAATTTTATAATGTCTGCTGGTACCTTTTATCAAAAAAAATGAGAATGGTAAACAATAGCGCGGTAAAGTGGATATAGTTTGACTCAGACCAGTAAAAGTAGTAGTCAGTAGTTGGATTAAAATTTCTAGTTTTTAAATAACTGTATAGCAAGACTTCACAAAATATCCTTCATTTTATTTTTTCTATGTGCAGTATGCCTTATACCGAAGCTTGCATCAGGGAGGTGCTGAGGATAGATACTATAGTACCCTTGGGAGTGTCACACCGCGCCATGTCCGACACTAAACTTGATGGTTACGATATACCTGAAGTAAGTACGATCATAAACATCGAAAATATCAATTTGGTTGTTATGTAAAGCAGCTGCATATTCTCACTTTTTGATGTTTAATTCTTACTTACCTAAACAAAAAAACTTAAATACCTCAAAAAAACGACTGCAGATTTCGTGATGCATGAATGAATGATTTTATTCCTTTTTTAACACACCGTCCATCTTTTAAATTATTCTCATAATTTACTGATAATAATCAACTTTTTAGGGAACAATGGTAAATCTTAATTTCGTAACACTGCACATGAGTAAGGAGATATGGGGAGACCCAGAGAACTTCCGACCTGAACGTTTCATTGTCGACGGTCAAATCGATCTTAGTAAGGATAAAACTTTACCGTTCGGAACAGGTGATTATTATTTTTATTCATGATAATATTTTTATAATGGCTTAAGTTTTCTTAATTTTAAAACAATTTATCGAAAACCACCGTTTAACAAAAACTCCACCACTCCTAATTTATTTTTTTATATCATATAACATCCTACAATTACCCGTGTTACCTGTGATTTTTTGTCAAAAACATGTTATTCATTATTCTTTTTTTTTTTAATATATTTTATAGTTATTCATAAATATTGTAAATTCATAATGTATATTTTTTTTCAAAGACAATAAACTAGGATTTTTGTCCTTTTTCTTCAAGTAACGAAACATCGAGGACGTATTGCTATTTAATGTTGTTATCAACATATTGTCACGTCACGTTTTAGGGAGAAGAGTCTGTGCAGGCGAAACATATGCACGTCAGAGTATGTTCCAAGTGTTCTCTAGCTTTATGCAAGCGTTCAAAGTGTCACCCGCGGATGGCAGGCCTCCAAAGAAACCGGTAACAAGGCTGCAAGGCATAATCACATCAATACCAGATTTCTGGATTAGAGTCACACCGAGAATTTAAGAGAAGCAATTTGAAAATGTAACCATTTTTTTTTGACTATTGAGAAAATGTTACCCACGGACTACGCGGAACAAGAATATATGTTATACTCGTTTGAAAAGAAGTTACTGCACTAAAATTACAAACTCTATTTCGAAGAAAATTGTAGTATAATTTGTTTATAACATATCACGAGATTGGCGAATTTTGAAAAACGTTAGATTAGAAAATTGAGAATTTAGTTATGGATTTTGAAAAATACGATACGTTATAGAGTTTGAATAGAATAGACAAAACCGATCAAAAAAAATTTTGCGTGATGAGCTGTTCATTTCATAAATTTTGCGGACTTTGATTGGTGTACACTGAATTAATATCGAGATTCATCGGATAATTAAGGGATACGACGATATCATTAGAAGTAATAAATTCCAGTTTTCATTCAAAATCATTGCCTTTTTATTTACACTTAAAATAGTAAGAAAAACAAAATATTAAATAACAAGGTACAATACGTTCCTACACAAACATCTTGCAAAAACATTTTCCAAGTCGTTCTATCCGAACAAATAGATAATTAATAATTCGATGTCATAAATAATAAAATATATTCAGGAAGGCTTTTCTAAGTGTATCCATGTTTTTATTAAATTCTAGACATAAATAATGTTAAAAAAATGATAAAGATTTAAAATCACTCGTAATTAATTAAATACATTGATTTGAACTTATCTCAAAAAGTGTTCGATTTATGGGCAACTCATTTATTTTACGCGCGATCATTCATAACTGACTACCGAATGACTACCGCATTGTCAACAAGTTCTGCATTTTAGGGAATGAAATGGAAATTTTTTGAAAAAAATAGTTTGTTTTATTTGAATAAACGATTCTGAACCTCCTGTGTGAATTTGGGCACCTTTAGAAAAGACACGCTGTATATAATTAGCGAACCGGTCAGAAATTGTTCTGTACACACGACTCAAATCCGACAACAAAATATAAATAAAAAAAATGTGAATCTAATCCATTCTCGAATCGACCTGAAGACACAAAAAAATCCAGGTTCGGCCTTTTAGGAGTTCAGTGACATACACACGTACAGAAGAATTATATGTATAAAGATAATTTATTAAAATCACCCGAGGCAACATCAAAGAAGTTTTCGCCTCTTCGGAGGGCCAGATTTAAAATCGGTTTTAAATAGTGTGTACAACAAATTCAACGTGCTCGATAGTGAATGGGAACGTGGTATGGGGAAATTAGGAAATTTAGATACATTTCGTAACGATTTTTAGAGTTCCGTACACAAAGGATAAAACGGGACTCCATTACTAAAACTTCGGTTTCTGTCCGTCTGTCACCAGGCTGTATCTCGCGAACCGTGATAGATAGACAGTTGAAATTTTCACAGATGATGTGTTACAAACACCGCTATAACAACAAATAACGGAAAAAAGATATATTTGAGTGGGGCTTCCTAACAGACATCATTTTTTACGGTTTTTATAGATAATTGTACGGAACACTTCGTGCGCAAGTCCGACTCGCACTTGGTCAGTTTTTGTTATCCTTATAGGGCGCCGTTATCGCTTGGCGATAAAGCTCTTTTATAATAAATTTTAAAAAATCCTTTACGGCATTCAACCCTACAAATAACATTCAACGATGAATATTTGTAAAGAGAGATAAGATTAATTTTGTTCATATTCTATCCATTAATGTTATTATTATATAAAACACATAAAATACTACATATTAATTTTTTTTTTCTCAATTACTATAATTATGATTGTATTGAATTATGACATTATATTCTATTTATTTTTGTGATTGATATCATTTGTTATTGCTTAAAATTTCGACAATTTTTGTTCATTTTGTTTTAATTTAGGTAATTAATAGTATTTGATTGACTTAGATTGTGTTTGTATTAATTATATTATTTATTTGTGAAATATTTGCATGCCAATGAGGCGAAATATGTCTGTACTTTTGTCTATACTGAAAATCTTTATCTACCATATTTCTGCAAAAAAAGATGATTATGATTATTATGATTAAAAATTACAAGAAAAATTATTGTTATGCGCCATTAACTTCCACGTCTATATTTCAATTACAACAATTCAACGTAATTATTATCTAATGTATACTAGAAAAATAAAATCAATGTCTGAAAAAAAAAATGTCTGAAAAGTACGTGGATAGTCAGTATTCGATAATAGTGGAGTATTCGATAGTAGTCAGAGTGGATAATCGAATATTCTTTGCGAGTCTAATAATAATCCCTATAATCGACATTTTCACTAACCACAAACGCTAAATTATATTTAGCAAATGCTATATATGTGTTTATTATATTTATTCATTCAATAAAACATTGCTGTTACGAACTAAAAGACAAAGGACAATTTAATAATAAGACATTGCGTGTAGGAAAGTACGATTTATTTACACCAGTCACTATCACATCATTTCTTGGGCTTTTTTTTATTTTTACCATCAGTGGGGTCTTTTCGTTTCTTCTGTGGTTTACTACTCGCGTCCTTTCCCTTAATATCTACTTTAGCTTTATCTACAACGCACTCTTCCACGTCCATTTTCGTGTTCTCATCATCTGGAGCGACACTGAAGCCCGGTATGAACGGCTTCACCAACTGGAACACAAGCTTCCTGTGCTGCAAGTTGGTACTGTCCAGCGTGAGACGAATAGTGAGCTCGTCGAACGTCTTTAACACGATATCGTCGCACACTTGAAAATGTTCCTGAAAACAGAATGCACGTCCAATAACTGCCCTCCATAAACGGTCATTACTCGAAGGAATATTTCGAGTAATTGATAATGGAGAGGACGCGAAGTTTTGTCAAGCAGTGTGTGAAAGTTACTATTATTAAATAACGTATAAAAAATCTCTATCATTCCTGGCCATAACCACATAGGGTATATCAGATATTGTTTTCTAGAAATATCGGCGACGTATTGAATCTAAATAGTATCTCTGTAAGGAAATATTAATGGTATCAATCTTATACGTATCATTAACATAAATATTTAGTAACAAAACTTTATCTATATGAAAAGAAAGGCATTTAACGTTATTAATAACAACGTCGATTCCATAATTACAAATACGATAATTTGCTTTTTATATACCAAAATTATTTTTATAAACTGTTTTCACACGACAATGCTTCGTAGGTTGTAAGTCGACCACAGATTACAAAATAAATAACATCATCGGTCTATGTCTACCACGATGGCAATCGATTCGGCGGAACATTTAATTCAAAGAAAATTATATTTTTCTATACAGGTAGACGAGACTACTGGTTTCTAACAAACTTAGCTTCATAAGTTCGACATTATTACAGGCATAGGTAAACCCTCACAAATTAGTGTGCCACATATAGCGATATGGCAAAATTAACTTAATTATGCATTATAAACATACTGACCTCTTCATTGTATTTAAACTTATCCGAGGGCAAGTAGAGCGGGCCCTCCAGCCCGTACTTCGGTATGAGCACTTGGAGTGCGTTCCGTTTCACCGCCAACACGACTGCCGATTCGATTTCGACACGATTCTTGAACAAAATCTGCGGCGATATATGAATATATTAATCCAAATAAATGTAAAGAGAATTTGAACAACATAAAAGTGAAGTTGCCATTTATTTTGAGGGGGGTGACGTCACCGCTTGCGACGCTAAACACCGCGGCGGTAGCGGGCGGGCAATGGCACCGTCGTCGTCGCGTTTTCTAAAGGCGGTGACGTCACCGCTTGCGACGCAAATCACCGCGGCGGTAGCGGGCGGACAATGACGCCGATGACGTCACGGCCTTATGGCAGTGAGCGGCCAATGACGTCACCGCCCACGAACCGCCCGGCGGCCACGTACGTGCGTGTTGAGCGCGACGGAGGCGCGGCCGGCGTGCTGCGCCTGCCGGTGGCGGTAGTTGAGGTTCTCGCAGCGGCGCAGCGCGTGCGACACGTCCAGCAGCGAGGGGTGCGTCGTGTCCGCACCGACGCTCGCCGCGAGCAGCCGGTGCACCATCACGTCCGCGTACCTGCGTTTCATTCCGATTCTCTTTTGTGATAGATCTCCTGTGTGGGCCCCACTATCGCGGTCTCTCCCTTCGAAAACATTACATTATCCTGTGTTCTAAGATTATTTATTTCATTTTTTTATACCTAATTATCTCTAGATCGCAACTATGCCTTTTTTATGTGAGATGTAGGCAAGCGAGCTGGCGGTCCATCGGATGTTAGGTGGTAACCGCAGTCCGCCGCCTTCCGACATTTACAACAGCCGTTGGGTTGCAGAACGCCGCCACCTTATAATAAAGTGTTCCCCGACTACATCACTAAACAGACGAAACGCAGAAGTATGACACGGTACTTAAGGACGGACCTGCCCATTCCTGCAACTGCTTCGGCTGTTGCGTGGCCATACTACAGTTGTTCCCCAAAGAAGGGCAACAAATTTTGTTTGCCTCCACTTCCATAAAAAATTTGTCAATACACTCGTATCGATTTGCGATTCGCTCTTACCGACGAATGGGCGACGTGAAATGCGTGTAGATGGGGCAGGCGAGCCCGTAGTGGTAGAACTCCTCCTGAGTGAGGGTGCCGCTGGAGAAGTAGACCGCCTGCTGCATGCAGCGGGTCGCCATGATGCGGAGCAGCGTATTGAAGAACGGCCGCTCGGGCATCACCGCCAGGTCCAGGGATTTAGAGAACGCCTTGTTCGTCGACACGTCCAACTCGAAGCCCTGTTGAAGAACGACTGAGCTTGAACGCATGCACTTGCCGGCCAAGAGCAACATCGCCGTCTTTATAATTACTTTAAAGGTCAAAATTCTTATTCTAGTTTCTATATACACGATATTGTTATACTTTGTAACAAAAGATGAATAATTAATTAATATTCACTTTAATTCCGGAAGACGTTGTTACACGTTAAACGCAGAGATGGCAAGAGAGAGTGTTGCCAGTCAACCGAAAGTAACACCCAAAAACTCAAGTTATGACACTCTCCCCGACCATTTTACAAAAAATCAACAAAATAAGGAATTAAATCACTATAGTTTTACTGAAATTATGAACAAGATTAAACTTAAAGAAACGACAAGTAAATATTAGCTTAAACTTTACACAATAAGTAGTAATTAGACTTAATTAGTTATACAATTACTTTAATCATAAAAAAAAGTATATAAAAATATTTCTATGTGCTAAGATATAATAGCTTAAAAGGTATATATTTTATAACTGATTAACATTTATCTAAAGTATTGGCATTGCTCGGGCTGAAGTTTGTCATATGAATTTGATTAGCATGTCTTTTCCACTGACTTCCATCCACTTCCACTAAGTATGTAGTCCCTGGAATGAATTCCTTAATTATATATCCTTTTGCCCACTTTTTTCTCCCCTTTCTAAAATCTCTAACCATAACTTGATCTCCTAATTTAAATTTTACATTTCTACTTCCTTTACTATATTTTAATTGTTTTTCTTGAGACTCTACCAATGCTTTATAAATAGGTGCTGGTCTTAATAATGATAATCTACTTCGTAACTCTCTGCCAAGCATTAGACGAGCAGGGGATGCACCAGTACTTTTATGAGGAGTGGTTCTATAATCAAACAAAAATATGCTTAATGCATACTGATGCGATTTACCACTTTCTACTATTTTTGTTATAAGTGATTTAAATGTCTCCACAAAACGTTCTGCAGCACCATTTGTGGCAGGGTAATGTGGTGGTGTAAAGCTATGTTTTACTCCTGTGACTTTACAAAACTCTTGAAACTCTTGACATGTAAAAGAACTACCATTATCTGTCACTAGGTGAACAGGAAAACCAAATCTTACATAAATCTCTTTAAATTTAGATATTGTGAGATTTGAGCCAATATTAGTCATTTGAAAAACTTCAGGCCATTTAGAATAACTGTCAACAATTATTAAGTACATTTTTCCAAATAAAGGTCCTAAGTAATCTGCATGTATTCTATACCAAGGTCCAGGTGGAATAGGCCAACATTGTGGAAAAGATTTAATAGGGTTGTGTCTATTTTTAAGACATAAATCACAAGTTTTTGATAAATTTTCAATACATTCATTCAATTTGGGCCACCAAAAATATGCTTTAGCCATTTCAATCATTCTGGAACAACCAAAATGTGTTAAATGTAATTCTTTTAATACTGATTCTCTAAGACTAGATGGTATTATAATTCTATGCCCCCACATAATGCAATCTCTATCTAAACTTATTTCATGCCTTCTCAAAAAGTAGGGCTTTACATCATCATTAACCACTTTATCAGGCCACCCATCACGGCAAAACATAATAATTTTTGACAAAATTTGATCTTTTTTGGTTTCATTCTGTATATCTTTCCAGTTTAAAGTTTGTAATTTTGATTGATTTAAGTAATTTATACATGATGTATCAAAATTGTAATGATTTAATATGTAAGTTTTTGAACTGTCAGTGGTGGGTGCCCTCGATAAGTAATCAGCAGGATTTCTGTCTGTACTAATGTGCCTAATTTTATAATTAAAAGCTGACAAGAAAATTGCATAATGTTGTAGACGCTTAGCGGCCATTTTCGGTATAGCTTTGTGTGGACCAAAAATCCGAACAAGAGCTGCATTATCAGTCTCCAGTTCAAAAGTTCGCCCATATGTAAAATTATAAAATTTTGTTACACCAAAAATTATAGCCAAAGCTTCTTTGTCAAGAGCACTATATTTTTTTTCTATATCATTCAATTTCTTACTCGCAAATGCAATAGGTTTAACAATACCACCATGATGTCTGTTAGATAGGATAGCTCCTAATCCATAGTTTGACGCATCACAAGTGAGTATCAATGGTAATTCCGGGTTATAATGATTTAGATTCTTAGCAGATGCTAATTTTACTTTTACTAACTCAAATGCTTTTTGGCATTCATTGGTCCAGACAAAGTTGCCTTTTTTGGTACACTCATATAAAGGACTTATAATAGTTGCTAAATTTTTTAGAAATCTTGCATAATAATTTATCTTTCCTAAAAATGAACGCAACATTGTAATGTTTTCAGGAGGAGGTAAACTAATTATAGGTTCAATATTTTCTTTGATTATATGAATACCCTCTTTACTAATTTTATATCCAAAAACATCAATACTATTATGAAAAAATTTACATTTTTCTGCCTTTAATTTAAATTCACATTCTTTTAGTCTAGATAACACTGATTCTAATGTTTTAAACATATCAATATAATTTTTACCACACATGTAAATATTATCAATAAAAACAATAACATTTGGAATGTCTGATAGCTTTTGTGACATAAGTCTTTGAAAAGATCCTGGCCCTGTGCTAACGCCATAAGGAAGATACTTAAACTTAAAAATTCCCTCTTCTGTAACAATAACAGTGAGCTCCTGAGACTCTTTACTTAATGGGGCTTGTAAGTATGCCTCTTTCAAATCCAATTCACAATAAAATTCACCACCCCTTAACTTACATAAGATATCCTCCACATGAGGCAAAGGGAAGTGATCAATTTCCAAGTAAGGATTTAATGTCACTTTGTAATCACCACATAGACGGACTGACCCATCAGATTTTAATATAGGTACTACAGGAGTTCCCCAGGCACTATATTCAACAGGCTCCATTCGATCATTATCTAATAATCTTTTAATTTCAAGACTAACTTTTTCTTTTAAAGCAAATGGAATCTGTCTTACAGGTAAAAATTTTGGCTTAGCATTTTCTTTTAATTTCAATGTAATGCATGCACCCCCTTAAAATTGCCCCACCCCTGGCTAAATACTTCAAAATATTTCATTTTTATTTTCTCCATTAAATCCTCAATCACATTCACATTTAATTGCAAAGGCCACATGCCAAATGTGTCCAACATATCTCTACCTAAAATTCTAGGTTTATTGTTTTCAACTACAAATAAATTTACATATCGTTCAATATTATTTAAATTCATTTTAATATTTTTAATGATTCCTACAGGCCTTGACGTTGACTGATCATAATTTTTGAAACATACATTACTATTTTCAATTTTATCTGTTAATTTTAATAATTCTAAATCTTTTAAATTAATAGTTGTAGCCTCAGAACCTGTATCTAATTCAAATTTAAAGTTGTAACCGTGCAACCTCACATCCACTAGACAAGGAGGTGTATTCTTATAAGAGGAAGAACAAACATACACATTGTGATAATTGTCAGTGTCTAAGAACAAGTTTTGGATAGATTTTTCTACATCTAAATTGTCTATAGGTTGCTCAACATTTTCAATTTTTAATGATCGCATTTTACAAATAGTAGAACACATCTTATAAATATGACCTTGCTTTCCACACTCTGAACAAAACTTATTTTTCAATCTACATTCAGATTTAAAATGATTATTCTTACCACAACAATAACACTTTACTTGTACTTTATTTGACTGATCCGGGTTAATTGTGTTGACTTTAGGATTATATTTATTTTTTCTTGAGTGACATCGCTTAAATTGAAACATACTAGTTGTCTGGATCTCCTCAGCAGATGTTGTAGGCTTTGAATGCATTAAGGCTGCTTCCACTGTTCTTGCTAATGTTACTAACTCTTCAAGTTTTTGGTTGCCACATTTCAGTAACTCAAATTTTATTAGCGGTGAAGAAACACCATCGATTAACTTTTCTTTAACTTGATCTTCAAAATCTTTAAATTCACATTTCTTTGCTGCTTTTTTCAGGCGTATTAAGTAATTTTCAATGTTTTCATCTTCTTGTTTTTGGTTACATTTCCTAAATTGAGCTCGATCAAGTGGAACAGAAGTTGATTTAGCATAACGGTCTTCTAAAATTTTTATCAATTCACTGTAGCTCTTTTTAATCGGATTAACTGGTGTGCATTTGTGATTAAGAAACTCCAAAACCTTTGGGGTCAATTTTGTGATTAACAATGCTACTTTTTTTTCTTCTGGTACATCATTTAACGTTATTAAGCATTGCATTTGTGTTTCGAACGTGTCGAAGTCACGTCCGTCGAAAATTTCTATACTGCTTATTATGTTTGTAGGCATTTTACTAAAATTTTCTACGTTTACCAACTTAATACCAGCTTTAATAGCGGCGCGTAGTGCTTTTCTTAACTCCTCCAAATTGCGATCTTGATGAATCACGCCTAATTCTTTGCACAAAGTTATTAACTCTTCTTTGCATAAATTCTGAATAAAAGATGTTTTCTTGTTTAGAATATCTTTGCTATAAGTTATGGACAAAGACATAAGTTTTGTCACGTGGTTAGGCTATAGATTGAAGATATGTAAATGTCTCAAAATGGCTGCGCTTGCACTTCTCAAAATTTTCTTCTTACTTTTATATAACTTATACTGTATTTTAAATAATAACTCCAAATATAAGTTTTTATTCTCACTTTTTCCCTCGTCGCCAATTGTTATACTTTGTAATAAAAGATGAATAATTAATTAATATTCACTTTAATTCCGGAAGACGTTGTTACACGTTAAACGCAGAGATGGCAAGAGAGAGTGTTGCCAGTCAACCGAAAGTAACACCCAAAAACTCAAGTTATGACAGATATATGCCATTAAATATGTTTGCATGTTTTAAGTAGTAAGAAGTATAGGGGCCCCGGCCACCTCACTCACCAGAAGAAACGCAGAAATATAACACTTCGTTCTTCTGTGAGGTTGTGGTACTTACCCGGTCAAACCTGCTGGAATGTGGGGGTCTGTCCACACTTAAAATACTTTCAAGTGTCATCTAGCGAATGTAGTAACTGGACAACGCCTGGTACATGTCCATGGGCAGTGGTGATCTGTTAACATCTATTCTATTATTAAAATTTGTGATATCCATTTTGATAGCTTAAATTTTATAAAGGTGCTAAGAGGTTATTGTCCTTAAAATTATTTCTTATTCGATGTTGTGTCCATTTATTGTCGCGATTGAAAAGACACGCTGTATATACAATGTTAAACTTAACTTTTAAGTGCACCACAATAGAATAATGATTGATTATTTATTTATCAACGGTCGTTTTCAATATTCTATCCGCAGATGGATTTGGTTACGGGAGATTGAATTTTGAGGTGACTATAACTATGGAGCTAATGTCAAACACCTATCGCTAGTAACCACATCTATCCGTAGATAGGATACTGACACCGGCCGTTACTCGGTAAGCCTGTTCAGATAGATAAACAAATGGCCAAGTACTCACCTGCTGCGCGGCGGCCTTGAGGAATTGGTGCAGGTGGGCTGGCGGGGGCGGGGGGTGGCGCCGCAGCAGGGCGCAGCGCGGGAACTCCGCCGCCAGCCGCTGCGCCACGCTCACGTTGCCCAGCAGCATGAACTCCTCCACCATCGAGTTGGTCTCGAGCATCTTCTTCGCCTGCACCTCCACCGGCTCGTGCGTCTCCGAGTCCACCTGGCGTTGTTCGGCCGTTGTTATTAGCACGTCAGTGCGACAATTAGCTTGGTGGCTAGAGCGCATGGATGCGTGAACCGGAGGGCGCAGGGTTCGAAAAATTTTGCACATTATTAAAAATTTATAATTTAAAAAAAAATTGTCCTTTGGTACTCTTGAATATTTAAAAAAAAGTTTCTTTGTTACTCCAGCATGCGTTCCTAAATCTACTTTCTATCCTGATGCAATAAGAAATTTAATGATCTGTTGAGCACCCGTTGATTAAAAATTATAGATCAAATAATTATATACAGGGAGATTTTTTGAGAAGTACCCAAATTTACACAGGAGGTTCAGACTCGGTAGTATAATCGTTTATTGAAATAAAAAACAAAGTTTTTTTCCCAAAAAAAGTGCCATTCTATTCCCAAAAAAACAGAACGTGTTGGCAATGCGGTAGTCATTCATAAATACCTATATTTTACTGTGCACGAACTTGTGTGCGTGTTAGTTATGAATGATCGCGCGTAAAATGAATGAGTTGCATATAAATCACGCACTTTTTGAGATAAGTTCAAATGAATGTTATCAATTACTTACCAGTGATTTTAAATATTTATCATTTTTATACAACATTATTTATGTCTAGAATTTAATTAAAAAAAAATGGATACACTTAGAAAAGCCACCCTGTATATAATGATTGGGGCGAGTTCTTTTTTTATCTTGAGAAACATCAAACCTAGTAGGTCAAAATGATGCATTGTACAGGCGTTTCACAAACGCGTATTCGGCACCAAGTACTACTTTTGTGCCGGCGATTCACATACTTGGAATCGAATCTCGGGCGAAGCTAACAACAGCGCGCCATTGTCAAGGCGCTTCTGTTTGAGCTTTTTCGCGAGCTTGTTCAGCAGTCGGAGGGAGTTTGCTATCTCGTCGTCACGGGAACGGTCGTCGATTATCAACTGCGCCTCTTCGTACGTCATCGCTGAACGAGACTGCGGAATAGGTATAAAGTTTATTAATCGTTGTTATCTTATCAACATTTTTATGTTTCATTTTGTGCCTTAGTTGTAGATTTTCTTTGAGTAATTTTATATAAAAATTTAATGAAACACATTATCGTTTACATAATTGTAAACGACGTGTAACGAATGTGTTTAAATACAATTAATACAGTACAGTAAAAAAATATTAAAGTCTAAGGATTTTAGACAAAATTCTAGAGGAAACAGAATTCTATATCTTATACACAATTTTAGATACAATAGCAAAATATAACAAGGAATCGAAGCGACAGCTAGTCACAAGATAATTTATTTTCATTAAAAAAATTACATGGAAAATTACAAAACATTTGAGAAGCTTTTTTTTTTATTTATGAAGTAAATTTATAACTGAACAATAATGAAAGTAATTAATATGTCAATTTCATCGACACAAAAAATTGTAGTGTTTTACCTTAATAACACTTTTGTGGAACTTGGTGGATAAGACGTTAGCGTTTTCGTCCATTTCCCATACGCAGGAAAAAGCCAACCGCTCCTCGCCGCCGCGGAGCGAGCACAAATTTGAACTGAGCAGTTCTGTGGGTGAAATTTAATATTTCATGACATACAAAGTTACATTTGGGTCCACTATAGTACTTACTGATAAATATTAGAAATCGAAAAGTGGGAAGAGACAATCGATTCGATACACTTTTTAGAGCGTTGTCTCTGTCACACCCCAACTAATAACACTCTACTTAAAGCGCATGGTGTCGCAGCGCAGAGTATTGTATATTCACAATAATCACATAGTATAAATTATCGCCAATCCCTTACATATTTAAGTATAATTTTAATTTTGTTAGTAATTTTAAGTGCTGCCGTATCACGCGCCCAGCGGTGAAGGAATACGTTTAGAGAAAACATGCATATGTTCAAATAACAAAAAAAAAATCTCGAAAGATATGCGAAATCTGCCAATCGGCAGTGGGGTTGCGTGGACTACCAATGCCCTCTGCACAGAGGCCTTTACTCGGCAGTGGGACATGTATAGGCTGTTATTTTACTTTACTTTTATAATTTGTAAAATCGAAGCACGATCATGAATTTTATGAAGTTCCCAAGCAGTGGCATCAGTCGTAAATCCCAGCATGTATAGCAATGGACTACTAATACCCTGTGCACAGAGGCCTTTACCCAACTGTGGGATGTAAAGGCTTAGGTACGACTTATAGTAGTAGAACCCAGCGGCGGGACTTATATGCAGGCCGTCGCATCCGGCGGGCGATCGGTACCTGGCACCATGTCGATCCTCTTGTCGACCAGGTAGACGGTGGTGGAGCGCGAGGCGGCCTCCGCGTCGAGCGCCGTGCCGGGCCTCACGAAGTGCGTCACGTCCGCGATGTGCACGCCCACCTCGCAGCGGCCGCCGCCCAGGGGGCGCGCGTGCAGCGCGTCGTCGATGTCCGTGCAGCCGGGCGGGTCCACGGAGCACACGCACAGGGGGCGCAGGTCCACGCGCCTCCTGATCTCCTGCGAAAGGGGCCCGCGGTCAGTGACGTCACAGCGGGACAGGTACACGCGCCTCCCGACCTCCTGGCAAAGGGGGTCCGCGGTCAGTGACGTCACAGCGAGACAGGTACACGCGCCTCCCGACCTCCTGCGAAAGCGGGCCCGCGGTTAGTTGCGTCGCAGCGAGGCGGATACATTGCGAGCATAAATACACGCGCCTTCTTATCTAAGAAGGGTGCCCACGGTCTGTGAAGTCACAGCGAGGCAGATGCACCGAGGGCGCGTCGCTACGGCCGTAACCAACTATATGCTAGGTCCCCTGTTTTTGGTTTGTGCCGTCACAGCGGGGCGGATGCACAGAGGGCGCAGGTCCACGCGCCTCCTGATCGCCTGCAACAGGGAGCTCATGACTAGTGACGTCACAGCGAGGGAGGGGCGGGCTTCGCTTCGGGCGTCACCAACTCTAGGCTAGATCCCCACTCATGCTTCTGGTTTGTGACGTAACGGCGAGGCAGATGCACAGAGGGCGCAAGTCCATGCGCCTCTTTATCTCCCGAGTAGAATCGTTGTCGGCCACATCAAGAAGGGGGCTGTGTCAGCCACGCAAAGCTAAGCACAACAAGTACTCGACCTATCTAGGCTTCTACTTCTGCTGTCCCTTCTTCTAAGATGTGAGTTGCACCTTAACTGATAGAGTTAACTGTGTCAGTTGGATTGTTGACTGGTAGAGAATTCCAATAGGCATTAAGTCCGCCCCCCTTGGAACCCCTTTTTTAAGGTGTTGCAATAATGATTAAAATTATTAAAACAGCACCAACATTTACCAGAGCCCTTTGTGCATTTCGTGTGTGCTTAAATAAGTATAATAACCTCTAAGTGATTTACGTAAAAACATATAAGTGACCAAGACAGTGCGTCTTCAAAAACCAGACATAATCCATCAGCATTTCTGATGGAAGAGTCTCACCTCCTCAGGTATGGTCCAGTCATCGGGCGGCAGGCAGGCCAGCACGGCCTCGCTGAAGCGGGCATGGGGAATGTCGTGCTCCAGTAAAATAACCTCGTTTTCCGCTGCCTTATCACCTAGACACATAGATAGAAATATTTATTATTTTCTATTTTCACCACATTTGACAATCATTTGATATCAAAAGAATGCTGCTGCGGAGCACTACCTAAAATGCAAAAACCAGAGTAGATAAATATACAGGGAGGCTTTTCTAAGTGTATCGATTTTTTTAAATTAAAATCTAGATATAAATTATGTTATGTAAAAAATAATAAATATATTTAGTTATTAATTAAATACATTCATTTGAACTCATCTCAAAAAGTGCGTGATTTATGGGCAACTCATTTATTTTACGGGCGATCATTCATAACTAACACACACACAAGTTCGTTTCAAAGTATACGACGCATTTATGAATGACTACCGCATTGTCAACAAGTTATCTTTTTAGGGAATAGAATGGCAATTTAAAAAAAAAGTTTGTTTTAACATTATACTACCGAGTCTGAACTATTATACTACCGAGTCTGAACCTCCTGTGTGAATTTGGGTACCTTTAGAAAAGCAACCCTGTATAGAGATTATAGTTGGCGTGGAAATGTGCTGTTTAGCTCAGTGGCTAAAGGATCAGGTGCAGGTTCAAATCCACGCAGCGCAAATACTTCCGTTCAATTGTCTACTAATTTTTAACCATTGTTTATTCAAAACCTACAACCGCTTATTACAACTGCATTGTGTATTACCAATTGGACCCAGGGAGCGAACGAAATGCCCGAGAGGGTATCGACTGTTCCTGGGCCAGGAATCGAGCGCCACGAGAATCCTTTGAGAAGCCAGCACGTCGCTTTGACGTGTCTCAATCCGTACATGAGGAATTTTTCTTTCGGCAGGCGTGAACAGGTGCCGAGTTGCACCTGGAAGATTATTAGTGAAGTTACTATAAGTAAAAATAAAAAAAGTTTATATACCTTTATTTATTTTTACTTAGTTAACAAAGTTCTTCATCTTAACAAAGTGAAAAACCCTAAATGATAAAGTTAGACCCAAGAAGAAAAATAGAAAACTTGACGCACCAGGAAACTTGCTCGGTTTTAATATACCGCAGTATTGTCGCCATTTCCTTCTAATTATGCCGACCACTTTCCCTGTGGGGGTGATTTCGTCATCGCTGGTGTCCGCCTTCGCGGTTGACAGCAGTTCTACTTCTTCCTCCAGAAGGTCACCGGGATCATCAGCTTTATCCTCCAGTACAATATCGCTCGGCTTTCTCCATTCTTCTCTGGGGAAAAGCTCTATGGCAACAATATCACCATCGACTGCCCTGTTAATGCCAATATGGCCTTGAAGTAGTATCTAAAATTAAAACATTTATTAATAATACTGAAGTGAAGTTTCAAGTTATTAATAATTATTATAAAACAGTTATTAATAATTCTGAAGTACAGTTTCAAGCGTCTCCTGCCTGTCTTTGTATGCATTTGAGATAAAAACCTTTATTCTGTTTAAAATTATGATAGAAATTAGATTATTTAAATGAAATAGGAATTACCGGTTTCTCTAAGGCGCTAACAGTGCATGAGCCTTCCAAAAAATTGTCTCGGGATGCATGGAACGTTCCCTGATATAATTTTCCATTCCTAATACCGACGTGAATCTGGGTTGGGGTCAAATGCGCTGGATACAATGCATCCTTTGAGCAACTTTCCGGAATGACATTCTTTGACAATTTATCCACAAGACCAACAAAGCCATTCACATTTTCTATATAATCCTTGACTGGAAACAATAAAAGAAACACAGTGAAAAACTGCTAATACAAAGTATCTTACAGGTACCACTAAGTGTATACCACACAAACTAAATCAACCCCAGCTCAAATCACCTGAGCAGCAAACAATCCCCTCCTCCTGTGCAAGTTCCCGGTTTTTTTCATCATCAGTGAGCAACACAATCTGTGGGAATTTTCCATCCAAGCTGTTAATACTCAGATGGGAAGCATACCATGAAGCAGCTCTACGTATGGCTCGATCATTCCTGTCATTTGGCTTTTCACCTGGATTCCTTTCAACATATGTGTCTCTGTAAGATAATGAAAATTAAGTGGTAATTTCACAATATATAACATATCATATGGATGTTTTGCATTTGCATTGCACTAGTTGACCCATTAGAATTTTTTACAATTTTACTCGTATTCATCAATAATCTCTATATTTAAAAATGAATCGCTAAATGTGTTGCTAAGCACAAATCTCAAGTACAGCTGAACCGATTATGCAAAACCGGGGGCGGATCGCTAGTTTATTATAAAAAGAGTAATAGAATATGTCTCTTGGAGTACAATAAAGTATATTTTACTTAATTTTACTTTCACTTTTTAAACCCCATATAAATAAAGATAATAAAAAAATACTTTCACTTTTAACAGATTGTGATTGCTATCAGAAAAATGTTTGTCATTTGCTTTACAACCATGTCTTAAATACTACCATAACATAAATATCACTAAATCTAAAGAGATTGCCAACTAATAGTGCCAAAAATTTTAAAATCAGATTGTGTAAAAAATTCAGGGAAATTTGTAGTTTATAAAATTATATCTCCATTGTTTATTTTATAAATTTTAATATATGATATGGGAGAAATAAGTATTATGGTATATAACAATTAAGTCTGCAATCCTTGCAATTTACCACTCAATATATGAAATAATAATAATAGATTTATTTTCAATTTAAGGGCTATCACAGAATTAATTTGATAACTCTAACAATATTATATTTTCAAAATATGTCTTACTTATGATGTTCATTAACAAAGGAGTAAAACTTTCTATTCTTCTTCCCTATGATTTCTAATAGACGTTGGAAAATTGCAGTGTTTTGATGCTTCACTTCTTCAAGAACCGTTTGCAAAATAATAACATTGGTCAAAGCATCCTCTTCTAAAACATCAATTTGATGTAAAACAACATTGGTATCCAAAACCAAGTAATGGTCGTAATCAAATAAGGCGCAGATAGAATGAGGCTTTATATCCAATACCAGTTCATCATCTTTATGAGGACAACTGTTGCAAGCAGATGAGCCACAGAGCAAGTCATCTCTCAAATAATGTTCCCTCACAATCTAAAAAAAATTGGTGTTATTATAAACGTTACAAATTATGTTTATATTGTATTATGTATGTGAATCTGAATTTCCCTAAAACAGTTTGTTCGTAAATATAAACGTGTATTAGATGTATAAAAGAAAACATAACCTTACTTTTAAGATGTTACCGCGTTTAGTTTTAGTTAAAAATGTCTTTGTAGTCCACATAATTCAATTCTACTTCCGTTTTCAAGTTAGTTAATATTTATTCAAATGTTGTTTTTAGGTATAAAAATATTTATATAAGTAAAAAAATATTTTACATTACCGTAAAACGGTAAACATACATAGAGTTGTAAACTGAAACTGACGTTGATATTGTCATTTGTCAAACAAGATTGTCTATGTGAGTAAAAAGTTTTTTTTTTATTTATTTCATGACCATGATTTATTTATTTCATGATGGATCTCTATTATTACGTGTATACTCTATTAATATACAGACGAGTATATATGTCTTATCTATGCAGACGAGTGAACAGTAATTAAACAAAGCCACACGTTCATAGTATCACAAGTAGAGATGGGTCGTATCGCTTTTTCTGAGAACCGTATCTGAATCAGATTTCGAAACTATATATTTTAATATCTAGCTTAGATATTTTACGTTCGCGTATACACCTTAAATTCATAAAAAAAAACAAAAAAACAAGAAATTGTTAATACCCATGAGTCCTACAGGGTCAGGCGTACATTTAAAATTTTTTAAGGTTTTTTAAAACGTAAACATAATTCAATAATAGTTTAGGGCGGAAGAATTTAAAATATACACACAAGACACATTAGCCTTGGCCACCAAAGCAGCACAGCACTATTTAATTATGTCTTTCGTTTTCGTGTACTTTTTTTTTTTTAAATTTACCTCCTATATATTTCCATTTTATATTTTTCTTCCTTAATTTAGGAATAAAATTCCTAAGTTGGCATCCCTTACTATTACGTGCCTATGTACCAATGCAGTTCAATGCACTCCAGCTCAAGACTAAACAAAATTTAAAGACATTGTTAATACCATGATTCGTATTTAAATTAAACAGAGTTTTTTTCCATGCTGTTAAGATTCAAAATTACTTAACTTATTCATAAAATCTGTTTGAGAATCTTATATTGTGCATTGTTTGCCGTACCCCTGTAACCAGTGTAATATTTGTATCTCACGCGCTTTGTCGCTCGCTACGGCTCAAGGCTAAATAAAAGAATTAAAAGATATCGTAATCGTTGATACCATGCTTAGTATTTAAATGAAACGGATCTTATTTGCATGCTCTTATTTGCTTATTCATAAAATCTGTTTAAAAATCTGATATTGTTGCCGTACTGCTCTAACTAAAGTAAAATTTGTATCTCACGCGCTTTGTCGCTCGAAATCTGTTTAAAAATCTGATATTGTTGCCGTACCGCTCTAACTAGTAAATATTTGTATCGCACGCGCTTTGTCTAAAAATCTGATATTGTGGCAAACGCGTATGATATCGCGATTCGTGTTGGTATAGCGAGTAAGCGAGTATTCGGTACATCAGATTTCGGAAATATCAGATATTGCAAAATATATAGATTTTGAACGAGCCAGTAAGCGATTTTCGGATATTTTTTTTTTATGGGAAAAAAGCAGCAAACGAGCAGGAGGCTCACCTGATAGTAAGTGATAACCGCCGCCCATGGACATCTGCAACACCCGAGGGCTTACAAATGCGTTGCCGGCCTTTTAGGAATGAGTACGCTCTCTTCTTGAAGGTTCCCAGGTCGTAACGGTTCGGAAAGACCGCCGGCGGCAGCTGGTTCCACGAGTGGTTGTGCGAGGCAGGAAATGCCTTGAAAATCGCGCTGTTGTGGAACGCTGGACATCGAGGTGGTGTGGATGAAATTTTTGGTTTTGGCACGATGTCCGATGGTGAAATTCAGCCGCTGGGATCAATCCAAACAATTCCTCGGAACACTCCCCGTGATAGATGCGGTAGAAGATGCAGAGTGACCCAACATCTCTACGCATAGCCAAAGGATCAAGCTGATCGGAAAGACCTTGATCGTCGATAACCCTAGCTGCCCTACCTTGGATGTGGTCAAATGGAAGAAGCTGGTAACTGGGGGCTCCCGCCCAGAGTTGAGAGCAGTACTCCATGTAGGGCCGAATTTGCGCCTTATAAAGGTTTAGGCGTTGAGCCGACGAGTACTGTCTCGCCTTGCTGAGCACACCGAGCTTCTTTGAGGCCAATTTGGCCTTACTTTCCAATTGACCGCGGAACTGAACATTGCTCGAGATTTCGACGCCAAGTATTCCGATACTAGCTGAGACAGACAGGGGAGTGTTCTCAAAATGAGGAGTCACGACAAATGGGGACTTTTTAGCGTTTAACGCGCAAACTTGTGTCTTATCGGGGTTGAATTGGATTAAATTTAGTCGACCCCATTCTGAGACTTTTGTTACCAAAGTCTCGATTTCAGACACAAGTTTGTTCCGGCTCTCGTAGACGTTTTCCCGAGAAATGTTAGCACGGCCTGTTTTGCAACATATCATTGATATGCAGAAGAAACAAAGTGGAAGACAGTACGCAGCCTTGAGGAACACCAGCGTTGAAAAATTTAGGATCAGAGCATGCAGCGTCGACGACGACCTTGATGCTCCGATCTGCCAAAAACTGGTGATCCAGTTGCATAACTTCCCGGGAAGCCCATAGGACGGCAGCTTCGAAAGAAGTGCTTTGTGCCACACCCGATCAAAGGCTTTCGCTACGTCCAGACTGGCTGCAAGCGCCTCCCCTTTGCTCTCCACTGCTTCTGCCCATCTGTGCCTCAGGTAAACCAGAAGATCACCAGCTAAGCGACCTCGACGAAAGCCGTACTGGCGGTCGCTAATCAGCTGGTGCTCCTCTTGGTACCGCAGGAGCTGGTAGTTAATGATGGTCTCTATTATCTTGTAGAACAAGGAGGTGATGGCTATAGGCCTTCCTGGTAGTCAACACCGGGTATTTGTGATAATCCTCGGGCTACTACTCGAGCCTTTTTGCGTACAATATTGCCATCTGTTCCTAATTTATCTTTCAGAATCATCTTGCTGTCAATGACGTTTCTGATGACGACAAGGTGGTTTCTTAAAAATAGACCAGGTATAATTTTTAAGTGTGCAGTTATTTCAGCAATTATTGCATCATTCCATTTTAGATCTTAGAATTAAATCTCCGAATTAGGAGAAGATTCTCCGGGGTGGTTCTCACCGCTCCCAGACGCCGATTAGCTAATTGCACAGACGGCCATCTGGGTTTCGGTCCGAACCGCGACCTCGATGGCACTTAGATGACACACCATACTTAAACGCACGCATGAGCACATGCGTGGCCCTACCCACAGCGGAGGGCTCAAAACCCGTGGGTTCTGGCTAGCCCACCGGTTCTGCATCAGATGAAGCTTTAATAGTCTCGGGACTGAAAGAAAAAACATCAGTTAATACACATCATCTTCTTCATTCATGCAAACTGTGCATATGTAATCTTTTGTCCAAACTGGCGGTTTTCTAGTTCTTTGAGGTCTTTGATGCTCTAAAATATCATTGCTTTCTATTGCCTCAACGTCTGTTACTTAAATCTTAAAAATTAAAAAAAAAATAATTGATGGTATCCCGGGTCCTGGGTTAACAGTGAAAAATTTCACTCTTTTAGTTCATCTAGAATCTATGCTTTACATACAACATATTGTGTCACTATGGTAATCCATAGACTTAAGAAAGTAATATGCCCATTGTTAAGGGGCCCATTAACCCCCCTGCAAAGCAGGATGTAGCCTACACACTATCCTGCAAGCCGTCCATCATAGTGTCAGTGTTATTGTTGTAATAATTATGGATTTACGTGAAGTATCGAAAAAAAAATTAATTCTCATTTCCTTCTTACTTTTCACAGGCTTAGCACTGTCAACTTTTTCTGTTGGCGTATTTAAAATGAGAATCAATTTATTTACATACAAAATGTTCCATATTTCACGAATATCCATTTTAGCTAACACCACACAAACGGTGATACAATTAAAATGTCACTAACAACACTCGTTATCTAATAGGTATACTACATAGATAACACACACGTAAATTATGTATATTTACGTGTTAGTTATCGAGTAATGAAGATCAGTCTTTATTTAACACTAATTAAATATAACATTTCCAAATTCAACAGTTGTCAGTTAGTTAAATCAACTCGACTAAATAACAATCTGTCTGACTGAACAGTGAACACTGAACAGAAAATTAACAGTTTGCAGTTGCTAAGTTGAAAACAATTCAATAGAGAGAGACGTAACGAGCATCATTGTCATCGCGTCCTTTCCTTTCCTTTGTTTCGTCGTCCTGCGCTGTGGCCTGCAGTAGTGGGATAAAGGGAGACAAATATATATCCGTCCATGTCACCGCGCAGAATACCTGTACACTGCTCCGCTGCCATTATTTTTATCTGCGTTCTTAAGAGTTGTGACTTGTGACTGCTATATTTAACAACTATCTCAGAATTTATTTAACAGGTGTTGACACAAAAAAATTAGCAGCGTTAATTTAGCAGCTTATTAATTTTAGGCCCATCTCTAATACGGCATGTCTTAGAATGTGCTTCAAGACGGGGCTTAGTGACGTAACGGAAAATTAAAAGAAAAATTTGAAATTACATGTAATGTACTTTATTTACATTTGTAAATTACAACGCGTTAGAGTGAGAGAGATATGTTTTTGTAATTGAGCTGTATATTTGCATAACGAGAAATTGTATATGCCATACAGGGCTTATCCTCTTATATTCTATTATCAATGAATATGCCCTAAGATTATCAAGTATTATACTGAATCTTAGTCTATGTACTGAATTATATAAAAATAATGAAATTCAAAAGTTTGCAATGTACTTAAGTTTGTTTGTTCAGCCAATTTATAACATCGACATTAAAAGATAAAATAAAAAATAGCGCGACAAAGTCACTCGTACACAAACATGCACACTGAATATGAACAAAATATTAGTCCATACTTTATAGCAATAAGTTGATCAAGAAACGAAACAATAAAATAAGAATAATGTTAGTCACAATGAAATTATCAACTTTAACACAAAAAAATAAAAAATTATATAAATTTAAATTTAACAACATTTGAAACTTCCCATAATCATCCACAGCATTTTTATAATTTGATA